CCCCCTTCCTTCCTCTAGCTATATGTTAGATCACACCTGCGGCCTCTTCCTGAACTTCCAGCCGTCAGTACTGAGGGCTTTGGGTAGGACTGCCCTGTGAAAGGACATTATTTGATACTTTTTGAATGAGGCAGCGCTGATTTTCAAGTTAAGAGGTTGCTTAGAAGTTGGGAAATTCGGCGGCCATTCTAGAGAGTAGAAGGGCTCTGAAATAGTGGACGGTTAGGTGGTTTGGTGTGTCTTCACAGCTACAGATGAGGCTGCCATAGGTGCAGAATTATAGCCGCTTCTCCGTGAAGATTAAATGGTGTTAGGTGTAATTATCTTGCATTTGCACTGCATCCTAGTTGTCATGCCATGATTTGTCTGTAACTTGAATCACATCACGTCATTTACAAGGCTTTTTATTTCTTCTGCTGAATAGTGTTTACATGATCATGGTTTTGTTTGGGGGTGTGATTTTCTTTGAGCACAGGATCTCATTTAGCCAAGATGGCCTCAAACTAGATAGGCTGGGCTTGAACTCCTGATCCTCCTCTCTCCATCTCTCAAATGCTGGGATCACAGGCTGTGCCACAGTGCCCTGCATGTTTACCATCTCCGTCGATGCCTGACAAAGCCTAGAGAAACCTTACACTTTTACTTTGTGGTGCATACTTGTAGACACATATTTTGTACCATAGGCCTCTTTTCCTTCTCAAGTATTTAGTTGGGAAGTTTTCAGTTGTGCAGAAGAGCTGCAGGAAGATCACCCTGCCAGTGTCTGAGCCTTTCCCCTCCAGGCACCCTGCCCTGGTTTTGCTCACTGTGCTCTGGTGTTTCTTTTTGTTTCTCTCTTTAATGCATGTACCCAGTCAGTGGTAGACATCATGGCATTTCACCAGTGGTGATTCAGCAGGTATGGACTGAAGAACAGGGACATGGGTCTAGGGGGATGGCTCAGTGAGTACAGCCCTCTCCTCAGGAGTTTGAGCACTGAGTTGGGATCCTGAGACCAAGGCAAAGCAGTAGTGGACACTCCTACAGCAAGACAGCAGGCAGACGGGAGACTCCCTGCAGGCCAGCTGGCACACTCAGCCGGAGGAGCCAAAAGCTCTGTCTCAAATGAGGCAGAAGATGAGGATCAGTACACCAGGTTGCCCTCTGACCTCCACACGTGCGTGCACCTTGGCGTGTGTGTGTGTGTGTGTGTGTGTGTGTGTATGTGTGTGTGCCTGCAAACACACAGACACAGAGAACAAAGACATTCCCTACAGTCATGTTACCACATTACCACGTTAATATATACATTACCCATATGCTAACATATTTAGGAAATTTAAGACCATGTCAAAACACTGTTATTTATGGTTTCTATTTCAGTCTTTCCAATTAGCCCATAACATCTATTATAGTTTTTTTTATTTTTTCAGAATCCAATTAGAATTGCAAATTTCATGTTGGTGTGTATTCCTTGGTCCCCTTTAACTGGTACAATTTTTGTCTTTTATGATGGCGACATTGGTAAAGAATCTAGACCAGGTGCTTTGCAGAATGTCTCCAAATATGGATTTGCCTGATAGTTTCCTCACGATGAGCTTTAAGTACCCTTGCCGGTGATATGTCATAGACCATGTCGGTGTGCCCCTTCCAGAGTGCTGGCCCTTGTAGTTTTGCTGAAGTTGGAATTGATCATTTGGTTGACCTGTTGATTCACCTTTGCCTCTTAGACCCTTAGTGCTAAAATTCCGAGGGGGGACCTCTCTTACCATGTCCTGTGTATGTTTGTATGTGCACGTGTAATGTGTCTCTATCCCTCACGTTTATGTTTAATTTTTCTATTTTTAGATTTTTGTTTTGTGACAGGGTCTCCCTGTAGCCTGGAACTCTCTATGTAGACCAGGTTGGCCTTAATTGTACAGAGATCCAGCTGCTTCTGCCTCCCAAGTGCTGGGGCTACCACTGTGTGCCATTATATCCCTCCCTTTATGAAAGATTCATGTTCAAATATATAATTTGCACTTTTGACATATGTTTTATGGTTTATTTTTAGTTTTTTGAAATAGGATCTTTCTGTAGTCCCAGTTGTCCTGGAGCTCAGGAAGATCCACGTGCCTCTGCCTCCTGAGTGTGAGATTAAAGGCCTGAACTAACATGCCTGGCCTGGCCTGGCCTGTTTTAAACTATTGAGTTTTTTTTTTTTTTTTAAGGTGTATATATGATTCATGTGTTGAGTGTGTGTGTGTGTGTGTGTGTGCATGTGTGTGCGTGTGAGTGTGCACGTTTGTGTGTGTGACTGTGCATGCCATGGCTGAAGTCAGAGGAAGATCTCAGGTGTCAGCCCTTGCCTTCTACCTTGTTTGTGGTGAGGTCTCTTGTTCACCACTGTGGTGCCTGAGCTGCAGGCTTTGGGGATTTGGGGATCCTCCTGTCTCCGCCTCCCACCCTCCCGTCCACACCCTGGGCTTACAGGTATGTGCTGCTGCACCCAACCTCTACTTGGATTCATGAATCTAAACTCAGATCCTCATACCTGCGTAGCAAGAGCTTTATCCACGGAGCCATCTCCCCAGACCCCTGTTTCAGTGTTTGAGGCAGGTATGTTACCTAGTACAGGCCGGCCTCCAACTTGAGGTCCTTCTGCTTCACCTGCCAAGGGGTGCACCATGATACCTGGCTGATGCCGCCTTTAAAAGTGTATCCAGTATTATTTGATTTTTCTTTCTTTTTTTAAAAATTTTTTATAAAGTGTTTTGTTTTGGGTTTTTTGTTTTATATTTTATTATTTTTATTTTATGTGTATGCGTATATTGCCTGCATGTAGGTAAGTGCACCCACATCCCCTCGCAAGACAGAAGAGGCTATCAGATGCCCTGGAACTGGAGTTACGGACAGTTGTTAGCTGCCATGTGGGTGCTGGGATTCAAACCTGGGTCTTCTGCAAGAACAGCCAGTGTTCTTAACCGCTGAGCCATCTCTCCAGCCCTGATTTTTCTTTTAGGTGGTCCTTTTGGCATTTTCAGGTATTTGGGTCAGTGTTGACATCTTTTGTCTCCTTTCTTTCTACCTCGGAATCCAGTCTGAGGATTAGTTTATTTTTTATTCTTCAGGCTTAAGTCCTGACCACTGACAAAATGCTTTACAGACAAAACATTCAGAACAAGAAACACAGGGGGAAACATGGCACAAGAGTAAACAGGAAGAGGGAGAAACGGCAAAATGAACCTCAGCTTGGGCAGAAGGCTGGGTGGGGTCTTTTTATTGTATGTGTGTGCATGCACATACATGTTCATCCCACAGTGCATATGTGGAAATCAGGGGATAACTTGTAGGAATCAGTTCTCCCTTTCCACCATGTCGGTCCTGGGGTTTGTACTTGGGTCATCAAGTGTCTCTCCCTGCTGAGCCTCTTACCAGCCAGAGTGGGGTCTCTATTAGGGTTTTTCACTTGATCTTAGCCAAAAGGCCAAGAAACAATTATTTTAGGATTTTCTAGGAATACTTTCTTCTTTTCTAGCCACTGTCTATGAGTTTAGGTATACACTCATCATTCTACAGAGCAGGGCTTCTTAAACTTCTGTTTTGTTTTATTTTGTTGTTTTGTTTTGTTTTGAGACAGGGTCTCCCTATAGCCCCAGCTGGCCTGGAACTCACTATGTAAACCAGACTGACCTTGAACTACCTGAGACCTGCCTGCCTCTGCCTCCTGAGTGCTGGGATTAAAGGTGTATGTGACCACACCCAGCTCACTTCTTAAACTTTTGCCCAAGAAATTTTTATATCAGCCTTAGTACATAGGTATATAAAATAGGTGTACAAATTAAACATTTACTCATAAATCATAAAGAAATTTATCTGAAACAGCTCTTTAGGGCTGGGGAGATGATTCAGCAAGTAAAAGCTCTTGCTGTACAAGCCCGAAGACCTGAATTCAGTCCTTGGAACCCATGTGAAAAAGCTAGACATGGAGGCAGACATCTGTCCCAGAAATACTAGGGCAGGATTGGAGGTGGAGACAAGAGCATTACCGGGAAACCTGCAGGCTGGCTAGGCTGGAGTGCACAGCTCAGAGAATCCTGCCTCAACCAACACCAGAAGGCTGGAACTGACTCCTGAAAATTATCGTTGGACCTCCACGTGATCACAATGGTATATGCTTGTGCACGCGTGCGTGCACACACATACATACACCTACACGCACACACACTAAATAGAACAGTTCTTTGGGATGGAAGCAAATTTGTATACTAATGAGGTGATATGCTTTTTTTTTTTTTTTGGTCTTTTTTGAGACAGGGCCTCCCTGTAGCCCCAGCTGTCCTGGAACTCACTATGTAGACCAGGCTGGCCTTGAACTCACAGAGATCTGCCTGCCTCTGCCTCCTGAATGTTGGGATCAAAGGCATGCGCCACCACGCCCGGCTCAGAAACTTAAATACAGTAAAACACCGCAGTTGAACCTACAAGGTATTGGAGCCAGCGTTCACTGGCATCATGAGCAGTGATGATGCACTCATTGCAAGTGTGCATGTCGTGTGCTCAGAGCCAAGGCTGCAGTGGATATGTGCAGCAGGCCAAGGCCACCAGCAGCACTGCACACTGATTGAGTCTGTGTCATTTTTGATCCTCGTATTCAGAAATCTTCATTGTTTTCAGCTTTTTCATGGCCCCAGGTTAGTTACAGCCCAAATACAGGATGTCAG